AACATAATACATTCGTTCTGTTAATATTCATATTTTAAAGCTCAGTTAAGGCACTAAACGTTCCTCTAAAAATGCAAAACAAAAAAACTTTTCTATTAAAATCCTCTCATTAAGTCTTCGTATAACTATTCAATGTCATAGAGTTTTCAAAGAACCTGTCAACTGGGGCTCTGATCATTAAAAGCTAAAAATAATATAACTTATCTTCATCACTAACCAAGAGAAGAAAGCTAAAGAACTAAACTTTGAATCAAAACTCAGATAATTATTTTCCTCACGAATAAATAATTTAACGAAATAATAATTTATTTATCATTCATTCGGGGAAATCTCTGATCGATTTCACTACAAGTTTTTAAGCATGTCCTGTTATTTACAAGTGGTGTTCGCTTTTCATCATGTTATTTGGAAATTATAGGAATAAACTGACTGCTACAACGCTATTTCCTTAAGGTGACGGCAAAATCAATAAAATTAAATTATCTATTTTAACTATAGATGCTATCTTTAACGGCCGTCTGGTGTAGTGGTAAGTGACATGGTCACTACACAAGGGGGTCGCGGGTTCGAATCCCGCCAAGGGAAGATATTTGTATGATAAATATAAATGTCTTTTCCAGGGTTATGGATGTAAATTAAATATATGTACGTGTATAATAAAAATCTTACATTTATAGCCGTTATCTGGTACCTGTAACACAAGTTCTTTACGAACTTATCACGGGGCCGGTTAACGTGGCGTGATTGTTAGTAAATATTTATTTATTTATTATCTGTTTTAACTATTTTTGATACAGAACAAATATTTTCGTTGTTACCTTCATTCAAATTTAGATGCACAATATAACTTCAAACTTAAACTATAAAGTTATAATGTCACAATTTAATTTGTTAATGCCCGGACACACGTCACAAGATCAACATTGTTAGCTAAGTAAACTATATGCAAATTCAATCTAAGTTGTCACGTGAGACACGAAGGATCCTACTGTTGAATTCGTAGCGCCTACACTACCAGAGATACCTGGTTGTCATGTAGAAATTAACATAGCACTGCATCGAATACATTCGACAAATTGACAAAGGCCTAAGCTTAGGTCAAATATATTTGGAAATTTTCGGTAAAATTTTGTGATCTAAAGTACATTTTTCGATTTGTTTTTGATTTGCCATATCTATATATTATTAATACGTGAAGCAAAAACTTTGTACCCCTTTTTACGAAATCTGCGCGGATGGAGGAATATGAAATTTCCCACAATTTCCTTATAGAGAATATAGAGAAGGAGTGCAGAATGTTAATATTTTTTAAATTATCCATAAAAAATACATTAAATCAATTAAAAAAAAAACATTTCACACATTACCATGTATTTGACACACACACGCATGCATACTATTTGTTTATTGTCAAACTTTTCTTGTGCAGATTATCGTCAAATTGAGAATAAATTAATTATAATTTGTCTTTATTAATATTTGTCTAAAGTGTAGTCTTGGCGAAATCTGTGATTATAGAAGTATAATAGTCTTTTACAGTAAAATAAAAGGGAGAGATAGCGCGACATGGTGAGACGCATCAAGTCTGCCCCTTCCAAGACTACATGACGATCACGACCACTCTGTCAAGAGTGACACGATTGAGAAGAAGAAGAAACAATAAAATCATAACAGTGTACAAACTTATAATTTCAATTAATTATAGGCGAATTTCGACTACCACTAGTGAGTAAATACGGACGCTACTAATAATATTATCATAACTGTATAATATATAATTATGTAAATAGACACTTTCAATTGATGTTTATCATGTATACAAATGCACTGTCTATAATATAAAACCTCGGTTTTCTTTTTTGTTGTATTAACCAAAAACTCCTTTTTAATATGCACAAATATATCATTTGTATAGGACGACATTCTGACTCACCATGTCGCTGGGATAGCGATATTAATCTGAAGTTTCGATAAGTATTTGCGGTCATCGATTCTATTTCGATTCGGCGCATCTTGTTTGCTGCCGACCGAATTGCTTGTCGACACAGCTACTGCATGTTTCTGATATTAAATGATATCGATGTATCGATACAGCGACGAATTTCGTGTCCGTGTTTCCGATAGTTTGTATGCCCAATATTGTTGTGGACTTGTATGCCCAATATTTTATTCGTGCAAGAAGAAAATTTATTTTATTTATAGCTGAGTAATTTAAAAAAAATAATCAGTCGAAAGTAAATATAATATTTTAGGAAGTAAATGGAAATTTAAAGTAATTATCAAGCAGTTGTATTTTTTTACAATTGAGAAATAGCATTGCTAGTTAACACATATTAAAGTTGTTTGATTCTGGTCTCGTCTCATTTTGTTATGTTAGCTAGACAATCAAGTAACCATAGAGTTAAAAATATTTAATTGCTAAAAAAATATATTATATTCATAAAAACTAGTGGTCCCGCAGTAGTCCAAATTCGATTATAATTAATTGAAATCATAAGTTTGAACATTATTATGGTTATATTGTCAAAGACTATTTATTATACTTCTATAATCACAGATTTCGCCAACACTACACTAGAGACAAATAATATAAAAGATAAACAATATTAACCTATTTTCAATTTGACCACAGACTTTAAGCATTAACTAAAGTTTGACAATAAACAAAGAGTATATATACATATGTGTGTGTGTCAAATACATGGCAGTGTGTGTAATGTTTTCTTTATTGATTTAATGTATCTTTTATGCATTATTTAAAAAAATATTAGCATTGTGCACTCCTTCTCTATATTCTCTATAAGTGTGGGAAATTTCATACTCCTCCGTCCGCGCAACTTTCGTAAAAAGGGGTACAACTTTTTTGCTTCACGTATTAATATATAAAAATTAATGAACTATATTTAAACTTCGACACAAAATTATATCGAAACATGAATTGATTGAGAATACACAACGCGCGAAAATATCAATCTTTATGCAAATTTCCTTGTTATCTTTCCATGCGCGCTCATCGCAACTACAGTTTGTAAATCCGAAAATCAGACATCGGAATATATTACGCGTTCCACGAAGCCCGTGCGCGTAAACAAAACACGTTAGCACTTTACGAGGATTAACAGTGTTACAGTTGAAAACTCAGGATATATCAGACTTTGCGAAACAATGGAGGGAGTGCCGTTGCAGTTGGCATTATCATTTGAATGGAAATTTCCGTTGCGGGAATTAGTGTGGAAGTAGACGATAGTAGAAGTTGTTGTACTGTGTAATGCAATATATATTTTGAATGCACGAACAGACAAAATGCCGCCCAAGTGAAACCCAATCAATGTATGTAACTTAGTTTGATAAGCGCAAGAAATGGAACGAAGAAACAGTTTATTATCATTTAGTCGTCGGCACCCTTGAATCCACCAAAACGACTTTTGGAGTTTTTGTATCGTTACACCATATAGAGGTTAAAAATGATATCCAGACTTGATGAGTCCGTGAACTTATTTTTGATAGTTGGGTTGATGACGTATAAAAACATACAAACGTTGTCTGATTAATCTATTCTATACTAATACTAGCTGACCCGGCAAACGTTGTCTTGCCATATATAAGATTTCTAGAGAATTTCTAGTGTAGAAAAAAAATTACTAACTTATTGGAAGTGTATAAGGATGTGGAATATGAGTGAAAAAGGCCTGGAGCGCTGTAAACGATGAGGGAATGTTGTTTAAAAATAACAAAGTACCAAACATGAGCACCCCTTATCACTTAAAGGTTAGAAAAATAGATAGTAGCCGATTCTCAGGCTTACTGAGTATGCATAAAAAATTTAATGAGAATCGGTCAAACGGTTTCGGAGGAGTATGGGAACGAACATTGTGACACGAGAATTTTATATATTAGATATAAATCTACCGCGGTTATTACGGATGTTCCGTTATAACTACTGAACAATGCATCCGATTGACTTGAAACTTGGTATCCATGTAAAAATACATGTACTTGATGGATAGGCTAATATTTATATGAGTGTTGGACTCCCTAATAATAACGTTTATTTTAAATGCCCAGCGAAGCGGGCGAGTACGGCTAGTAGAAAATATTCTCGTGATAAATTAAAGTATGTAAGCTTAAATCTATAAAATTAATTAAATATTGATAAAGTTTATTGCTTTAGTCGTCATAAATCAGTCTGCGTTCATGATATTCCATGAGTTTTTTGTTTCTCTCGGTAGCAACTAAAAATCCTAGGATCAGTTGCGGTCGTCAGTACACTTTCTGGATTACCGTATCGTTGCAATATTACGACCCGGCCGCTGGGTATATCCCACTTTACATTCACAATCGGATGCCAAAAGCACTCAGACGTTAAATGAAAGGGAAAATGGAATCGGACGAGAACATTTTAAATTATCTTTCTTCCTCTGCGATGCTTGTGATCAGTGAATCGAATTTAATTACCAAATTAATGTGGATACGTTTAATTTGCTAATTAATTGAATTAAGAATGGTTGTTCAACGTTTTAGCTTCAATTGATTTTGAAACGGGATGTTATATTGAATTTAAATGTAAACTTTGATTATTGAGAATTGTATGTAGAAAATACAATTTTTTGGAACGAAGTTCTTTATGGGACGGTGCGGAGGGGGGTACCCTAACCGGGAAAAAACGTCCGTAACGTAAGATTTTTATTAGTAATGCACACAGTGTACGACTTAACTTTTGTAATAACGTACAAAAAATAAAATCTTTTTTTATCATTCATTGACCACGATCTCAGAGCGTCCGTTTGCGCAATACACTAACTCTTATGCAAACAACCGTGAATGAAGTGTACCACAATAAGTTCGCACGTTACCGAATGCCCGGGGGTTGTTGCGAAATCTCCAGTTTTATTTTCTTTATACGTCGAATAGAACTTAAAATTAATATTTTTATAATAAAGAACGAAGTTCCTATCCGGTATCCCACGACACCACACAACTTATTTGTTTCTTTGTTTTAGGCCCTTCTACAGGCGCATGATGTGGTCGCCAGAGAAGTGTACGGTGAGGAGTCATTGCGTGCCTCTCCGCCGCCGGTCAACGGTCGCACGACGGCACCGCCGCCCGAAGAGGAAGACGACGCCGAACCCGAATTCGAGAACGTGACCAGGGTGCGCCTCGTGCAGTTCCAGAAAAACACCGACGAGCCAATGGTTTGATCAATTACGTTTCTATAAAAAAATATTTAGATCTCTTCATAGCTTTCAAAAGCCACAACCAAGCAATAAGACAATACAATTTTAGAAGTCGTCGTGGCCTAAAGGGTAGGACGTCCAGTGCATTCGTATATAGCGATGCAACGGTGTTCGAATCGCGCAGGCGGGTACCAATTTTTCTAATGAAATACGTACTTGACAATTGTTCGCGATTGACTTCCATGGTGAAGGAATAACATCGTGTAATAAAAATCAAACCCGCAAAATTTTAATTTGCTTAATTACTGGTGGTAGGACCTCTTGTGAGTCCGCACGGGTAGGTACCACCACCCCACCTATTTCTGCCGTGAAGCAGTAATGCGTTTCGGTTTGAAGGGTGGGGCAGCCGTTGTAACTATATCTGAGACCTTAGTATTTATATCTCAAGGTGGGTGACGCATTTACGTTGTAGATGTCTATGGGCTACAGTAACCACTTAAGACCAGGTGGGCTGTGAGCTGTTACACCCATCTAAGCAATAAAAAAAAACACCACGACTACTCCGCCAGGAGTGTAGGTCGGAGAAGAATGAATTAAAAATATAAAACTCTATGCTATGATAGTTGACTGATGTCAGGAACACACTGTGAATATCGCAATTGAAACTTGAAATCCTAATCTCAATTCTGTTGCAATCATATCTTACCATGCAAACTATATCGTATGAGTGTTTTGATACCGTAATAGATTTGAATATAATTCATTTTTCCCAATAAAACGAAATTACGACAAAGAATGAATGCTCTTTCGAATACGCGAATTCTCGTAAACCGGGAAGTGAGTGACAACACTGCCTAAAGATATTGAATTGCTAGAAACTTGGTCTGTTGACAGTAATACTTAAATACTTCTTCAAACAGAGAAATAGGTGGTGGCTTACTGGTGGTAGGACCTCTTGTGAGTCCGCACAGGTACCACCGCCCTACCTATTTCTGCCGTGAAGCAGTGCTGCGTTTCGGTTTGAAGGGTGCGGCAGCCGTTGTAACTATACTGAGACCTTAGAACTTATGTCTCAAGGTGGGTGGCGCATTTGCGTTGTAGATGTCTATGCCAGTAACCACTTAACACCAGGTGGGCTGTGAGCTCGTCCACCCATCTAAGCAAAAAATAATAACAATAGGGGATTGCATTTTATACTTTGTCAAAATTAGACATGCCATACCTTTATTAGTGCCTCATTTTGCGGGCCGCTGTCTACGAATATGCTTCTGGACGCTTTTCAGGGAATTACTCTAAAACTAGCGGACGACGGACGTTGCATCGTTGCTCGTATTATGCACGGCGGTATGATACATCGCCAGGCGACGCTGCATGTCGGTGACGAGATTAAAGAGATTAACGGAACGCCTGTCGCAAACCAATCTGTCGCTCAACTACAAAGAATGCTGGTACGTATTATTTTCGTTACATTGCTCGCTTTGTGTTTTCTCTTTGAATTGAAATGGATTCAAACTCAGCAATGGTTTGTGATGTTATAAAAAAAGGATTGTGTGATTTTATGAAACCACGGTAAAAGTGTTTTTTTTTTTCACAAACAACAACATTTACATTAAACACTGACAAAAACAAACAAAATAGCGTGGAGCACTGGTCTCAAATGAGTAATAGCCTATACAATACACGGTCAGCTGCTGCGAACTATAGGCGCCGCAATATTGGCCTTGGCTGCTCTGACGAGCGAGTCCGAGCGCCTTTCTCTTTATCCCTACTCCGCGGCCACCGTCACGCGACATGCAACACACAGACGAAAAAGTTTGAGATGATGTAACAAAAGTTTCACTTTAAAACGTCAAAAATTAATGTTACCACAGCGCGAGGCTCGCGGCTCCGTCACTTTCAAGATCGTACCTTCCTACCGCTCGGCGCCACCACCTTGCGAGGTAAACGAATAAGTTACTACTACTACTACTACTAATCTGTATTTAACTAATTAAAATTATGCAATTAATAATAATAATAATAATGTTGGTTGCATTCTAAACTTGTTAATTTCCAAGCCGTGTGATTTCAGTAGTGGCTAGTTTAACTAAATGCATATATTTTTTTAAATAACATGTAAAGTTCGACACTCGAACAAGACTAGTTTTTGTTACTGACACTATAGTTTGGTAGTGTGATACTAACGCTTGTTACAAACGGTAAAGTCGACAAGCGCACATAAATCACTCTCAATGCTTGTCCCCTATGCATAAATTGGTATCTAACACAGAGAAAATTAAAATTTGAATTTTATTCTTTTGTTGTTCTTAATAGCTTTTCCGGATAAAGCCTTCGCCCGTGCTAGTAAGTAGCGAATCCAGTTGCTACTTTATGTATTTATGTTTTTTTTTTATGTTCGATGTTGTGTTTATGTATCTGTCTGTATACACCGGCGATCGGGGAACTTTTTTTAATTATTACCCCAAAATATTTTTGTGTAAGTTGATATTACCCCATGGCGAAGAACAAAAAAAAAAGACGAAATCGCTTCTTTTTAGCATCTTTAGCATAGCCCCCATGATAATTATGAAAAGAAAACAATAACTAAAAATTTAATTTAAACATCATTAATTCAACTTATCAATGTAATACCTAGTAATACATAACGGTAATAATAGTAATTTAAATAATATACAGATGAGGAGTATCATTTCGTTTCATCGAGTTTGAAATCACAACGATTCTAAAGAAGTTTCACTTCGATATAATATACTTTTTACTCACAAAAGTTTCATTTTTATCCCCCCCCAAAATTTCATTTTACCCCATTTGGGGTAAATTTTTACCCCCCCTCAAAATTTCATTTTACCCCATTTGGGGTAATTTACCCCGGCTCCCCGACCGCTGGTATACACCGTCGCCTGGGCATGGCTGGATCCCCCGCGGTATTCCTCCGTTTCTGTGCGCTTGTTGTCCTTTTTGTCATCGCTTCACACTCTCACTTTTGTCACGATTCTTATTCGCATCCGCAATTATGTTCTCCGTTTTTGTTTATTGTATGTATATAATTCTAAGGGAGAAAGCCTTAATGTCATAACTAACATTTTGGGTTAAATCACTTTGTACCATATTATTTTATATGTAAGGCTCTGGTTTAAAGTTGGGTTTTTCAAGTTACGACAATTCCGCTTTCGTCTGTCTATATTAAAAACTAAAATAAAATCGAGAGGCGAAATGCTATTTGGTTGGAGCGACATTTCGCCTTAATACACGATATTTATCTTTGTCATTAACGGTCCGTTTTATTTGGTTGGTATTTGGTACTTGGAAACTGTAATTTATTATTGATTTCTCCACTATTTAATGGATGTTATTATACATATAAACCTTCCTCTTTAATCACTCTATCTATTAAAAAAAACCGCATCAAAATCCGTTGCGTAGTTTTAAAGATTTAAGCATACATAGGGATGTAGGGACAGAGAAAGCGACTTTGTTTTATACTATGTAGTGATTAGCATCAACAATTCGATGTTTTTAATTGAACTTCATATAAGTTTACTCAATTCAAATAGCTGAAGAAGTTTTTTTCGTTATGATATTTTTTCCAAATTTTATAATCTTTAAATGTATCTATTGTAAAATTGCAAAAATGTCGTTTTAACCAAATAGCATTTCACCTATCTATATTGTATCATTCGTATCATTTAGTTCAGTCGATGTGTACTTTGATTCTTGAAACGTACGTGAATCAACCGGTGATTTATTGTCGTATACTGTTTTATTCCTGGTTAAATATTTACATATATGTTCCTCAATTATTAACGTAATCATGTCTGTAGCGATTATACGAACCTGTGTGTTTAGTAAAAGTTAACTTTTACGCTATCGAGAACGTTACAAAAGTTCCCACTAGGGCACACACACACTGAACCCCATACTAACAGTGCCTCCGTTTTTGGCACTCGTGGCACCAGTAGCCTTAAGTCCTTAACCTCTTAATATTTCAATGTTAGAGTATGTTGAAGGCCCACACGGGCGGGTATCAACAGCCCTTGTATTCCTTTCGCGAATCAATAATTAGTTTCAAATCGAAGATTAGACGTTTCAATGCTATATCGACCCTTGTAGTATTTATCTGCGGGCAGCTGCATTAATATTTCGTCTTCTCGCATTAAAACTGTATAATCTCAAAACTTACTAATTTTACAGGCGAGTGTTTTAAAGGTTTAACATATTGTGATATTTTTAATATTAATATTCTTTGCAACATTTACTTTTCATTTTTTAACAGTTACATTATCTGTCTTTTAAAGTAAGATAAAATTATGTATAATTTTGTTAATAGTAAACAAAACATAGGTAAACTAAAAAAAAAAAACCAAAACTAAACTACGCTCTTTTGACAGTATTTATGAGAAAAATACTGGTGGATACCAAATAATTCCGCATATTAAAACAATTTCGAATATTTTTGGAAATTGTACACATTTAATGCGAAAAGACAATTTGCTGTTAAAAAATAAAGATTCGTAGTTTAAAAAATATATGGACCGTTTATTTTGAAAGTGGTGTAACTCCATTTTTGAGAAAAATGAGCTATCACGTAATTCATGCTTAATTTAATATAAATTTATTATATATAACTAGTCCATGTTTAATTTCTCAAAGAAATCCCAGGTTTTGTACAACTTAAAATCGGTCGGTAAATGAAATTGCATAATCATCGATTATGAAAGTGGTGTAAGTCCAATTGACAGAGGTAGGTGGCATAGCCAGACCTCATATTATGATTTGTCTGTATTTTTAAATCAACAAATGAGTCGTCTATTATCAAAGGTGGCAATCTGTGCATTTGGACAAAAAAATGTTATTGATATGTCAATACAGATTGATTTGAATATAATCGTCTCCTTCAAAGAATACGGTTCAAAACCTGCATTAAATAAAGGTTAATAGTTAACCTGTTATTTATCTAAGATGTCGTTCCGAAGAGTTTTGTGACTGCCAATGGAATACAAAGTCAATAATTCGTTTTTCTGATTTACCAATAATTGTCCAAAAGTCAGATTGCCGGCTTTGATAATAGTCGACTCAAATATAGTAACCTTTAATTTTCTCGAAACAAAAGAAAATGGACTTACACCACTTTCAAAATAAACGGTCCTATATACATGTATACATTACGTGATAAAACTATTTCAGATATTCGTTCGAGCGCAGTTTGATTACGATCCGTTGGAAGACGAACTAATCCCATGCGCTCAAGCAGGCATCGCCTTCAACACCGGCGACATATTGCAGGTTAGTTGTGTATTATGGGTATAATTGTTGCAAATTCACGAATACTAGATGATGATCGAGCTTTTCTCGGTTTTTTTTTATAATGCCATCTTCTTGTGTCTTTAAAGCAGTTAGTTGCCCTCAATTAAGAAAAATAGTATTATTATTCCACAATAGATGTCGGGAAGAATCATAAAGTTAATTATCGATAAAGTTGATTACAAGTTGAAAACACGAATAAAACAACATTTTCTGAAAATAAATCGTAGCTAGATCGATTTATCGCCCCCGAAATCCCCTGTATACTACATTTTATAAAAATCGTTGGAGCCGTTTCCCAGATTCAGATATCGGAGATCATTATTTTATTTTTTATTTTATTTGTATTGCTTAGATGGGTGGACGAGCTCACAGCCAACCTGGTGTTAAGTGGTTACTGGGGCCCATAGACATCTACAATGTAAATGTGCAACCCACCTTGGGATATAAGTTCTAAAGCCTCAGTATAGTTACAACGGCTGCCCCGCCCTTCAAACCGAAACGCAATACTGCTTCACGGCAGAAATAGGCGGGGTGGTGGTACCTACCCTTGCAGACTCACAAGAGGTCCTACCAGTAAATTCAATACGTCTTTTTTTGAAAGGGAAACTTCTTTAGCCTCGTTGTGTTTCATAAGTCGACGAAACGAAAAAGCGACAATAAAAAGAGACACACACATAAATTCATAAGATTTAACGTGGGAGAAAATGTGATAGGGAGCATTATACAGTGTTTCTTATATTCGTGGTTCTCTTGGTGCTCTGTTTCGTACCTGATATTCGTACTTAATAAGTTCTGAATAAATCTATATAATCTATATCTATACTAATATATAAATCTATAGTGGTTTATACGGTTGTTCCGATAACTAATGAACCATGCATCCGATTGACTTAAAACTTGGTATTAATGTAGAAAATACATGTACTTAATGGATAGGCTAATATTTATATGAGTGTTGGCCTCCGTAATAATAATGACAATAAATAATAATGCTAATTTTAAATGCCCAGTGAAGCGGTCGAGTACGACTAGTATATTCGTATATCCGAATAAAATGTAAAATAATTAACTATCAAACTTTGTATCGCTATGATCATTACTAAAACCTACAATTATTCTTTACCCGAAATTTTACATACGTCTAAAAGGCAAAATTTTTGAAGATTTCCCTTCTACCGCTTGTGAATTGCACACATGCTTTTTTTTCAGATCATCAGCAAGGATGACTCTCACTGGTGGCAAGCTCGTAAAGACGCTTCTGGCGGCTCAGCTGGTCTCATACCCAGTCCTGAGCTGCAGGAATGGAGGGCCGCGTGTGCTGCCGCAGAAAAATCTAGCACCGACCAAGGTGAGTTAAGTCTCTGAAGATTTATCGATACTTCTATATTAATACAATAAAGCTGAAGAGTTTGTTTGTTTCAACGCGCTAATCTCAGGAACTACTGGTCCGATTTGAAAAAAATCTTTCAGTGTTATATAGCCCATTTATCGAGGAAGGCTATAGCTTAAAAACATCATGAGACAGATACAAGTGGGGCACCAATAAAGAATATTTCAAAATCGGTTTTTTTCCGTTTTGAGAGCTTCCGCTGCGTGCGCTGCAGAAACGGTTAAAGTTTCACTAAAATAATGTATGACAGAATTGGTCCCCATTAAAAGATATAAAAAAAGTCCGCGACAGCATATGTCTATATGTTAAGGTTGACTCACTATAACATTTTTTATGCTAACCAAATTTGTTCTAAAATAAAGCATTATTTGTGAACTATCCCACGCGGACGAAGTCGCGGGCTAAATGTAGTAATTAATAGGGCTTCAAAGCCGATTATTTCACATTTCATTTTGCTTGTTTATCATTTGGCTATAACATCGTGTTTTTGTTATAGCAAATCAGAAAATATAAAGAAAACGGTAACGAATAACGGTCAAAAACAAAGTTTCAACTCTGGATGAAAGAGATGCGAACGTATACACTTAAACGAATGAACAAAATGATCTTTGACTAGTGCTCGATAATGCGAACTAGTATTTTCTAGATCAATTCGTCCTTAATATATCGGATTGATTTTAAAATTTTCGTTCAAGTTGTGTAGTAATTAAATGTAAGTTTCATCCAAAGTCTTTTTTAGTTATAGCACTACTTGAACATAAAATGATTTAATTTTAATCTGAAACAAAAACATTAATATAGATTTTTTTCGAATCAACTGTTACTAAGCTAAAGCTAAATTCTTATTATGTTTGTATTCCTTGAACTAACTTACCCTTGGTAGCGTAGATTGTGCGTCCGCTAAATTTTATCTTAATTATATGCCATTACGTAGAATCCAAACATATACTAGGTAATAGACGCATTACTAAATCCTTACTTATGTAAAAAAGAAATAGGCAAAAGCAATACCGCTTATAACAGTTTTTGCATCTGTTTGTCAACCGATTGTTGATCAGTAGTATTTGTTTACAAACTTTAAAATTGTTTTTCAAATAAATTTCTCTCGCGCTTACAAAAAGTAAATGACAATATTAAAAAAGAGCATGTACTAAATGAAAGGAATTTAAGTCTTGAGGCGTGATTTGATAAAAATTTGATCGTTATTAACGAAAACATAATACTACTTAATACACTTAATACTACATAGTACATAATACTATGTTGAGAATAAATTTTCGAATGTGATGTCTTAATTCGCATCTAAAGCTTCAATGGCCAAGGGTAAACGATTTTGTTATTTTAAAACATTCAAAATTAATTTGACCTTTTCTTTTCGATCGCTAACAATATCCGGATACAACAGCTGTTGGTACGTATTATTTTATTGTTATCGTTAAAATTTTACGAAAGTCACAAAAATCCAATGTGAATTCACATGTAAAGTTGCCCTTTCCGATTTTGATGCATTAAGCATGACATAGAGTTAAACGTCCGATTGGTCCCAATGTATTTTTTTTAGTAAATGTAATTGAGAAAACCCTCGCCTTTAATATGTAAAAATATACAGTTCGCTGAGGCTATTACAGTTTGCAACCAAAAAAATGTATTATAATATGTATTTTTAGAATTTGTTTAATCTCAGATTACTTTCAAAGTTTTAATAGATCAGTGAAATTGCTTTTTTGTTTTTTTTTGTTTCGATAACCACATTTAAAACCCTTTGAAAAATCGTAGTGATTGTCTTAATAAAGCCGTCCCACTTCCTCTTTGGTACTACTACTTAATGATTTCCCAAATAATTGGTATTCGTAAGACTGTTTGTCGATGTTTGATTGAACAATCAAGACCAGTCCCTTTTCACACGAACCCAACCATCGTTTAGTGATACCCAATCAATACCTTGAGCTTGCATGAAACTTTTTGTAATTTTTTGCCGCCGGAGCAGAAGGCTGCGTGTCTCATACCGACGGATGTGAGAATACAGGTAGGTCGTGACAAAAATTTACATGTATATAGTATTAGATAAAAATAGCTCTTGTTGTCTTATGTAAATAGGTTTGAGAATCCATTAAGTTCTTACTAATATTAAATAGTATATTAAGAATATTTTCCGGATAATTAAAGTGTCGAATGTGTAATGTATTCGTGATCCCGAAATAATATTGGTTTTTTTAATTAGAACTATTATGTACCTAAGTTAAAATCGTCACAAGCTAAAGTATATGCTCAGTAGATTCATATCAAGCTATCCAGTCGCATCTTGATGTTCAAATCCCGCAGACAACTTCCAATTTTTATTGAATTAAATATGTGCCGGCATTGTTTTCGTGAATGACTTCAACGTCACTTTCACAATCAAGCATGGTGTGATTAAAATCAAACTCGACAAATTTATAAATGGGCTACATGGCTACACGCATTGGCGCGCGGATAGTCTTCCACCTCTTGGATTAGCTTGGGTGGTGGCATTTCGATAATTACTCAACACCTGGTTTTCACTTCGCTCATCCACCTACGAGGAATCGTAGTCCTAAATAATTTGAAAAAAAAAGTATTTCTAGATCAAGGAAATTTCACACGTCTTTGGCAAGATTGGATAATAAGCCAATTTCCAAAGTAGAAACTAACTAACAAATGATAATTTAATTTAATTTAAAAAATGATATCTTTAGATATAGACGTAATGTTTTGTTCAACAGTCAACTGTTCTATATTCGGCCGCAAGAAGAAGCAGTCCAAGGACAAGTATCTCGCTAAGCACAACGCGGTGTTCGATCAGCTGGACGTAGTCACATACGAGGAAGTCGTCAAGCTGCCTTGTAAGTAATACAGATTCGTGTATCGACAACTCTAAATATATTTTTTTCACCTTAATGAATATATTGTTCTTCGATTGTTATTTATGTATTCCTTTGGTGCTTAATGGGAAACAAAAGAAGGAGAATTTGTGACTGATCAGTTGATGTCCACTGTTTGTATTTTTTTAGGTAAATGAAATTGAAAATATTGTTTGCGGGATACCGGTTTTTCTGAAAAACTGCTCAGTGTCTAATCGAATGCGCTCATAGTACGCCCTGACATGATAAATATCGGTCACCATTGTATCTTAAAAAAAAGATAGCTAAAGATAAAAAAAAAAAAATATAAAGATGGATTATTGAATTACAGCATTCCAAAGAAAAACGCTGGTTCTGCTTGGCGCCCACGGAGTCGGCAGACGTCACATCAAGAACACTTTAATCGCCCGACATCCTGATCTGTACGCCTATCCTATACCGCGTGAGTATTACACTTAGCGAAGGTAATTGAGGTAAGGAGCGTATTATCTGTGAATAGAAAATCATCCGTCGAGAAGCGACCGATCAGGGCGGCGCCACAGCAGCGAGTGATGTAATTTCCAAGATGGTGTCCCAAAAGTTTATATTCACTCGATTTACAACTGCTATATACCGTAACGCGCTAAGTGTATTGATGTTTTTTTGTTTTGTTTTTTTACTCACAGCAGAAGACTTTCAACTTATCTCTCGTATAAGACAGTTCTCATTACTTCTACCCCCCGTAATTACATTGGAAAAATTATCGACATCAAAATCTCTAAGCTTTGCTATGACGTTTTTTTTTTTTTAAAAAATGAACTTCTTTTGCTGTCTCCTCGTTCTAGACACCACGAGACCGCCGCGTCCGGACGAGGAGAGCAACAGACAGTATTACTTCATCAGCCACGATGAGATGATGGCTGATATCGCGGCCAACGAATATTTGGAATACGGTAAAAAAAAATCGTGTCCGGCTTCTAATCAAACAAACGCTCGAGTTCATTTATAATCAATAGGTATTGAGTAAACCATGTATATACAAGTCGCCGTGACTAGATTTTTTTAGAATCCCGTAAATAATGGGCCAACAAACAGCGAAACCGTAAGCGCTAAGAAACAGCCGGGTCGCGCGAATCTCATGTTAATGTAAGCTTTTTCATGCACTAATTTAACATTCACAGCAACCCCGGATGAAGAGATCGGTAGGTATACATTTCATGGATATATTTCAAGTCAATGTTGTGCTTATGTATTTTAAAACAAAACAATTGGCTATAATGATTAATAATTATAAATACCGATGCCTGTGACAGTTTGGTGTCCGCGAGCCGGCGTGAGCCCGAATATCGTAACATTTAAATCGGTGATGAGTTTTAAAAAAAAATTTAAATAAAAAAAAATTGTTCGTTTTTGTTTATTTGATTTGCCAATGTGACAACCCTATTAGAATTCTTCGTAGTTTTCTCCTTCGCCTTCGATTCATATATTTATTTTACACATTTCGTATTCGTATAACGGAGAGTTCGTTATTTGTAGGTATAGTTGTTTTTTTTTTTTGCGTTTCTCATTTCTTTCGTTGACGCATCACGCTCCGACCGGCTTCAACGGTCCGACGGCCGCTGAACGCACCCGTCCGCTTCGTTCAGGCACGCACGAGGACGCGATGTACGGCACGAAGATCGAGACGATCCGGCGGATCCACGCCGAGCGCCGCGTCGCCATACTGGATGTCGAGCCGCAGGCCCTCAAGATCCTGCGCACCGCCGAGTTCGCGCCCTTCGTCGTGCTCGTCGCCTCGCCGGAGCCGCACACCGTCAGCGAGGTGAGCACCCCCACAGCGCCTTGTGCACGCGCAGTCGCCGCACGTGTCGTGATGATCGTCGTTACCATGGCAACATATAGGTTGTGCAGTAGCTAGTTGCGGACACAGTCGGTGCACGTGTTGTGATGATCGTCGTTACCATGGCAACAGATGGGTTGAGAAGTAGCTAGCGCACTCTTGTGGACACAGTCGGTGCACATGCTGTAATGATCGCCGTTACCATGGCAACAGATGGGTTGTGTTAGCACATACCCGATCCTGCGGACCGAATGGTAAACAGTCGACGTCGCCCTGAATACGTCGTTTCGGATCCTCCCGATCCATTAACGGTGCTTTTACGTACCTCAAGCACCGGTTACCGTCCTCGCCGAACCCGTCGCTTGCGACGAAGGGCTCGCCGAGTAAATTAACCCACAGACACAGCCCACTGAGTTTCTCGCCGGATCTTCTCAGTGGGTCGCGTTGCCGATCTGGTGGTAGATTCTGCTCTTGCTAGGGCTAGTGCTAGCAAATTCTCTCAGGTTGAGCCCGTGAGCTTAGGCTACCAGCGTATAGGTAAGGAAAAAAAGTAAGTTTCCCGCGTCAACAGCAAGTCCGCGCCATGTACGACGGCACCACGCTGGAGCTTCTGGGCCGCGAGACGGAACAGCTGCGGCGGAACTACGGCCACTACGTTGACTTCACGGTCGTGAACCACGACATAGACGACACCATCGCGCAACTAGAGGCGGCGATCGCGCGCGTGCGCTCCAACCCGCAGTGGGTGCCCGTCTCGTGGGTCTACTGACCGGCCCGCGACCGCGCCTAGAGCAAACGCGAATATATCGTCTGAACGCGTCGGGTACCTCGTCCGTACGTACCCACGCAGCAATGTACACCGTACACCCACGATATATTCGAACCGCGGCCTCTGACTTAAACGCGAAGTGATTTCGTTTCTTTATCCTCCTCGACCTCGACTCACATTAATTTTGTAATTTGAAATGTATTTATATAGAAAAGAAAATTGTCAAAAAAAAAAACTTTGTACCACTTTTAAGTACATTGCGCGCACATACAAGGGTGAGAATTTGGTATAGTTAAAACAAGTTTAGAGAAGTAGTGCAGGAAATTAAGATTTATGTGCAAATATATGTATGTTCGAAATACATTAAATCAAATTGAATGTACCTTCACCTAAAATAGCATTTCGATCACTAGTAGCGACCTCTAGTGTCGTTATTTACGTTCGTTTGAAAATACTGTTTTGTTGAGTATGTACAAGAAAATGTGATGTGTGTGTAAGGACACAGCTAATAACATCGTAATATCAAGTGCCATAAGAATATATCGACGCTTGAAAGGCAAACGTGACTAAGCGACAATCGACAATGCGTGAACCTTGCAGTAGACTAATTTAAAGTTGAAATACCTGAAAACAAAATTTATTTTAACGAATCTAGCTAGTAGCTGTGGGATTGAAATGATTTTAATAGACCTAGAAATATATTTTTATTGCGCATCGAATATGGTTATTGCCTATCATTTATGTACAAAGCAGTTATTGTCGCTTAGTCACGTTTGCCTTTCAAGCGTCGATATGAAAAATAAATGTAACTAATTTTAAGATGTAAGCTCGTTTGTTAATTTAACTATAATAATATGTATATATCGAGGGGTGAAAGGTGGTTTAAGCGGCATTTTTGCAACTTTACGGGCGAGACATTTAAAGCTTAAAACTTCTTCAGCTATTTGAATGGAGTAAACATAATTGAAGTTCAATTAAAAACATCGAACTGCTGATGCTAATACTAAATTAAACTCACTTTTAATTACAAAGGTAAATAAATGTCTTTCACCCCTCGGAATAATAATTTCAATGATTTGAATAATTACACCAACTGAATACATACGTGTTACGTTCACTGAGAGCTTACCAGTTCATTGAGATAATAAAAGCGAGCTTACATCCGTGAAATTAGTTTTAAATTGTGTGACCCGTGACAACTGAAAGAAATACTATAAAAAAAAAAACAATATTACATTTAACTAGAATTATTTACATGAGTGGGTGCTGTTATTTCCACATTACTATGTTTATAGAGTGCTTATTTTTTTTCGTTTGAAAGTAGGATTTCATACCTTGCACCTTAAAAGAAATGAGATTTACCTACGAAAAGACACTAACTTTGGACAAAGATCAAGAATTTAAATGCACTGTATAGAATTTAATTAAATAGAATAAAAAAATACTTTTCGTAGCGTTTAACTGTTTCAAATTCAAAAAAAAAATTCAAAAGACATCGTTACTTAATTGAGTTAGTAAATCGTTGTGATCATTTATCGAAATTAGTTTAATTAGGTTTTTTTTTTTGTTTTGTTCAATGTATCGACGAAACATGTTTGAAGTTAACGAATAATTGATAATTAAGATTATTAAATCGATAATCGATTCTTATCGATAGAATTCAAATAAAAAAAAAACTCGAATATAAAAATCGATTAATTATTATAACAAAGTAACAACTAGTTTAGTATTGAAAAGTCTTAAAAGCTTGCAATAATATATTGGTACGACGCTCAAATACAATTAATGTGCCAAATAACAACTCAACTAGAAAAAAAATCGACTAAAACCAACATCGGAAATCGAATGGATCATGAATTTTGGATCAATGTATGTACATGATAAACTATTATATACATTAGATCTTATATAATCTAAATAATTTTAAATTTTAGATTACTGTAGTTCAGAATGTTTTCTTCGATAAATAAATATTTAAGGATCTATTTCTAACATATACTAATTAACGTCTACTATTTATTCTATTTATTCCAACTATAGAAATGCGTCTTTACATGTGCAATCAATTTAGCATGCTCATTGTTAACTCACTACTATCATATAAGATATTTTGAACAAAAAATATTGTTAAGGACACATAGTTAATACTCATTCATAAACGAAGAACAAACAAATTTTAGTAGTATATAAAATAAAGTAGTTGAAAAAAAAAAGTTATTAAATTATTCTCTGGATATTTATTCGCGAAGACAACTACAGCCCGCAGGGCAGCTTGTGGCGAGCTGTTGGTGAGTGGCGACACCACGGACCCGATGCGTCCGCGTGAGGCCTTTGAGGCCTCAGAACCTGCCGACCCCCGCTCCGGGGTCACGCGGACACGCAAGAGCTTTTTGCTCCAAGGAGTGGAGGTATTAAGGCTCAAAGCCGCTTCCATCCTTAGTCATCACCGAATCGAATTTCGTTCTCCACCACAAAACGGTATTCCTCTCGGCGATAACGAGTCACCTTCTGCCGATTCTGTACAGAACCCTCCGTCGGCAGTTGTCCCACAAGGTTGGGCACATTTGCTCTTTCAAAATTCAACAGAATTCTCGTACGATATAGGAATGCCAGGATGACGAATTCTTTGGATTTTTCCAAAGTAGATCTGTGTCCAACCTTACCAATAGTAGTGAACGAACCTTCTCCCCTGCTATAGCCCGTTAGCGTACTTACTCAAGTTAAGGTTAGGTATAAGGTAACCTAAATATGATTTGCTGCATTAGATATAGATTCCATGTAGCAAATTATATTAAGGTACAACGAATCGATAAATAAACACACGCAATTAATTTGTCGTCAGCAAGATCGGGGCGCCTTTTGCTTTTTAACAATTTTGGTTCGGATTCGTATGTGATTATAATTTTTTTTTTTATAATATAATTTTTAAAATAAATTATCTGAATATTTGTAAATAGTAGTCTAGATAAATTCGGTGTTGTGCGTTTAGTTTAGGGATCGTGAATACGCAGTAGACAATGAAGTCGAACTGTGGTCGTATGTGGTGTACGTCTATAGTTCGCTTCATTATTTTTTTTTGTGTATATTTTGTTTAATTAATCTGGATAAAACCAAAATCGGAGCTAGCGTTGTAACGGGCTCACGACCTTACTCCGCTTTTGTTGTAATTTTTTCATTTAAATTTCATGGTTATCGTTTATGCTATTTCTTAAAATAATTTCAGTTTCTTTTTATTTAGATGACATTTGAATCTTTTTTTTTTGTCATTGAAAGCAGTGGTCTGGTATCATTACTGTTGCACTCTACAAGTATCCCAGGCTCATGACTTGTAAGAGTTCTCCTGAATTCAGTTTTATAATTAATAATACTGTGTATTAACGATCTTAGGGATAAGTGAAAATAATTTGAATCTGTTTATTTAATTAGTTTTATTTTCTTTGAACAGGTATTTTACTTTGTAATCACTAGACGCATCTCCATAGTTGGATTTTCATTTATCGACTCGAGTCATGTTTATCGATTAGAAATCACAGGGTTGCGAACGCTAAAGAGTCAGTACTATTCCGCTTAAATGTTTCTTAAAAACGCTTTAAGTTATTTAGAAGGTGCCTATTTTGAGTTTCTTTAGTTTTGAGGATTTTTAACGTGTGACGAGAAATATTCAGAATTCAATTTTAATTCTGATCTACTGGATCGTGGATAATGGATTGGTGTGATCGAGTGAATTTATTATAAGAAAATCGTTTTGGGGAACGTATTTTCACGGCACCTTTTAATATATTTATTATTAAAATACATTGAATTTCGGTAGTAACGAAACAAAGTAGACACATAAATGTATCTAACACTGGAATTCTTCTTTCCTTCACTTGGAGCACTACATTCCTGTATATAATAATATTATGTAGCAAAAGTTTACTATACAAACATTATAAAACTTAACTACTTCACTGTTTTTACTTTTGAAATGATAAATTATATCTAGAATAAGTAGAAATCGTTTTAAACTTCGGAATGCTATTCGTCTTCTGTTTTTATTGTATAGTTAATGTTCATAGAATTTTAAAATTATTTTGGTAGTTAGAATACTCAAGAGCACTGGTAACCCTAAATTTATTAAAAAGGTTAGATGTTTAATTAAAAATTTATTTTAAAATGTTTGACAACATGCTGGTATGAAGGTCTTGCAATAATTTTGAAATTCTATGATATAACTATTAGTTTAAAAATTACGTTTTAGAAAATTTGCATTTTAATATTATTTTTTATTAATTTAAGTAAATAAGTTCAAATTACAGTCAAATTTAAGAAATTGTTATCCACTACTTTTTTCCTTTTAACTTGTAATCTCTTATTAAGCTTTCCTAATTATAACCTATAGACGGTGGAACCTAGATAAATTAATCTATAAATAAGATTATGTACGTAAATTGATTATTTATTGTACGAATGGTGTGCTTTTCAGTAGCACTTTATGTTATCTACGAATGTTGCTAGTTTAAAAACTTTAAAATCAAAAATTTATTCAATAGTTTCCATGTAAATGAAAATATTTGTTTGTTATAAATATGAAAAATTTTAGTGTTTTTTCTTGATACATTTTTGTAGTAAATATCGTTTTATTTTTTCTGTAGTCATAGACTATAGATTTTGATGTTTGTGCAAAGGTGTTCTTACACCTTTAGGTTTAAGTATTAGAAACTATTTGATGATTTAAAGCTAGTGCACATATTCGGATATTATTAAGTTTTGATGTTGAATGATTTTATTTTAAATGTGTTTTAATGTTGTGAATAACACAAGTTAACGTCTCAATGCATACATTCCAATACTAGTTTTATTGTTTGCAAAATTGTTATTTATATTTTAAATATAATATTTTTAACATTTTTTTGTTATATTTAACGTATTAGATTTATGGAAATATTTTAATCTTTTAAAAGTTTTATAGGAGTTAAAAGTGTTTTTTTTTTTAAATTCAACACTCGAATTTTTATGCTCAAACTTTTGCATTCATATTTAACCGTTTAGAAAGAAAAATAACTTAATATCCAAATTATTATATTAAAATTATAATAATAAAAATGTTTAAATAACAAATTCATAAGAAATAACAAATGTTAAAATTTAGATGGAGAACCTAAAAGGTACGTGCTGAATGTATCGCGCAAGAATTGAGTTGCAAAAAAAACGCAAACCACCATCGCAGTAACAATAGTCTCGTTATGCGTAAATCATACTAAAAACAAAATATTAGAGAAATGTTAAAATATATACCATCATGAACTAATAACGACTGTGGTAAAATATTATAACTGTTAAAATTAATAAACAGCACAAAATAAAAACGTTGTTTTATTTCTGTTGTTTTAGTTCTGAAAAATGAATGTTGAGGGTAGTTGTGCGTGATTTGAACGCGTCGAGTGAAGTTATGTGAACTATTTTATTTTGTATATACTATAATGTTTCTTCGACATTTAAAATCGTACTAATTGCAGCTTATTAAATGTTTAGTATCTTCACAGGTGTGGTTATGTGAAACACAATAGCTAGACTTTTCGGGTTCTTCAAAAAGGCCGTTGAAGAACAAATTCGCACTATCTGCCTGATCGGAAAATTAATTTAATCTTTCAGATCTAATAACTCCATTTCGTATCGATGCACACCACCACCACGCCACGCTGATGTTCTCGGGAGCTCTCTTCCTCCAAATATCCATAATTTTTTTTAAAACAAACACTACAATATTAACAACTTTTCGGTCGGCAGGCTATCCGAAGCCCGCCTAGATGGCACCGGTTAGAATGGGTTATCCTACGGAATACCCCGCTGGGTCAGAACCAGTGTAGGTCGAGGATAGCCGGCCTTCTATCACCCGGATGCTCTTGTGTAAAACACGTGCAGAGCAGCTTGCACGTCGTCTTCTTAGGCCCCCTTCGCCAGGCCCCAGACCGACATGTACCCGAAACACTTAAGAGGGCCAAGGCTTGGGTGAGATCCGCCTCCCTCGCCGCCGCTCGGCGGCGGCAGGCTTGTGCGTTTCTGACGCGCCCCGACGCCTCCTGCGAGATGTTTCTATCACGGTAGAAACATTTAGGTTATTTAGCTTAAGATAATTGTCCTTGTTGAGCTCAATGTTGAAAAGATCTGGGAGCAACCCGCAATACTTTGATCCCGTAAAAAACAATTACTGTTAAAATACGACGATCACATGACGTTAACAGAGCTTTAACAAGCCAATTTTATTAAGACTTAAAACTTAAGCTCATGGTATGAACTATGTAGGTATATTTTAGATTTTATGCTTTAAAATGTTATTAAGGTCGCTTTTTGGAGGTATTTTCACAGGTAAGTATTTCAGATTTGGAAATTGTATAACTAATATTTTACAATTACTACTTTCCAGTTAACTAAATTAAAATGTTAACTTTGAAGGAAATATATACCTATTGTTGTACATACACATACATACATATTATTTATCGCATACAGTGTCGATTGTTGTTATTATATTAGTTATTTAATTACGTAATTGTCGTTTAGTATACAGAATTTTAGCAGTTTTTCAATTTTTATTTATTTATTTCTATCAATCAAAATATGCACCCATGATATCGACGCAGTCAGGTAATTTTTCAATATGCTTAATAAAGAAGTCAGGTGTATGAGCGCCAACAAACTCGTCAAAGGCATTTGGTACTGCCTTTTGGATATAGAATTTTTCCCTTCAAATAAAAGTCTGTTAGCGCAAGGTTTGGTGAATACGATGGATTCGCAAAACTTCGAAGCCTAGCTCTTATATCTTGAAGTTCATCTGTTTCTGGTACAATTTGAAGATGTGATTATACTGGCACTAGATAGACCACCGGCCAGTGACCGTGAGTTTTTTAAGGGTAGGCTTTCATTTCGGGCATTGTGTGGGTGCTGAACCATGGTTCTAACCAACATGATGAGAGCTTACAATTGTCAAAAAAAATCCATTTTTCAACCGAAGTCACAATGTACACAATATTGAACAGGTACCTACAATAATAATGCCAACGTTGAAAGACGCTTCACGTCAGCTTCCACTATTGCCTTTACCTACTTTGTCGTTAAAGACTTTAGTTTTCGGGCAATGACGAGAGGGAGAGAGAGATGAATATATTTTTTTAGATCAAAATTTCGATGGCTGAGTCTTTTAAACCAATAACGAGTTGTGTATTCAGTTTTAAATGTTGTGAGCCGTTTGGGCGGCAGTGCCACCGCGATGGATCTTTTATTCCATAATTACTCATATTTTTACGGTATCTACATTATTGAAAATATAGAAATAGTAAAAATAAAACATTAGGGAATAAACAATTGACTGAATTTCAAAATATTATCTATTTATTTAAATTCATATTTATTGCCAGCCATACACAAATTGCATTTCAAATGGCCAGTTCTGACGAACAGGAACTTCTTAGGCAAATACATATTATTTCCTACGATTATGAGTACCGCAGCGAAAAAATTTTTTTTTTGTGTGTAATTGTTTCAATACAAACTCAATAAAAAACAAATACAAATAGGTAAAATATCTTTAAAGATTTTTGAGGACCTGTATTTAAGTCTAATTAATTATGTTACCTACAACATTTGTGGTTAAAATAATAAAAGATAATTCTACGTGTTAGTTTTAGCGGGATTTCTATCTATATATCTACCATATACTATTTAAATAGGTATGTGTACCTACTAATGTTTAAAAGACTGACAGTGGCTGTAGATCATAGACTTCAGTGCTGTAGATACATCTTCAATCCACCACAGATAAATCTAAATTTGTCAGTCTTTTTATAAGTTTAGCAGTATGATTATTGTTCCCTTTAACAGTACTATCAGAGAAATCGAGTAAACATACTGTGAATGTCAAATTTTGATTTTTAATAGTAACAAACAAACTTTTGTTTTTATTATCAACATTTATGAACTTGTTGACTGAAACTGATTCCTTAAAATTCTATATTAACAAAATTCGAGTAGTTTTACAAAATGGCTCAACGGGCACGAAGATCAAACGCTGGAAATCGTATGGCTAAACTCCTTGACGAGGAGGAAGAGGATGATTTTTACAAAACAACATACGGAGGGTTTAATGATGTTGAAGAGGATGTAGAATATCAGTATGTATTATTATAGTATTCATAGAATATATGTAGAGGGTTATTAGGCTTTTGGTTTCGGAGAACTGAGCCCAAAGGATACTCCCTGAAAGTACGAGTAGAAATGTGGGCTGATGAGCTACTTAGATTTTTGCCGCTGCTATCTAGCTAGTCTCTGAATGTACAAGATAGAGGGCTTCGATACATAGCGGAAACTCTCTCTTCTGAGAATCATGCTTTTCCAGGAAGCCAATCAATCACTTCTTGTTCTTAACAATCTTATGGTCGGAAGGTATTTTGTCAAGTAGTCTGCAACTTCGTCACATTCCAGCAAAATGTTAGCTGCTGTCTCATTGTCTCCGTCTAACATATTATATATAAACATTTGTTCTACTTTTTGGATCCATAATATCCTATAAAACTGTATGATCAAATCATTAAAAAATGTTAAAATGGTAATGGCAGAGTTACATTAACAAAGTGAATACATTAGCCTATTGAGAAAAAATAAGATACGGAAACAAGCAAATTTACTGGCACCAAATATTGGTTGGTATTGGTATTTGATATATTTTGGATATTCTTAGTGACTTGCGATTCCGATCTGGTGGTAGATTCTGCAATGTATTACTCTTGCTAGGGTTAGTGTTAGTAAATTCTTTAAGGTTGCGCCTGTGAGCTTATCTACCAGTCTGCGAGAAGCTGGAATAGCCTCTTAATTTACAAGTGAATTTCTTCTTTCTTCTTTCTTCTTTCCAATTACCCTCTGCTGGGCAGGGCAGGGCTTGAATCAAATTCATCCATTTGCATCATTCTTGGGCAGATGTGAATAGAATAGTAAAAATAGAAGAAAAGTAGGGAAAAAAATTGTTAATATATAAGTATAAATTAAAGCTTAATATAATAGTTAATGAATTTACTTGACCCTTGCATTAAAATGTTCAGTGGTTAACTTTGAAATTTATAACATTTTAGACAAGAAAAGGAAGTTGATGATGAAGTTGATTCAGATTTCGATATTGATGAGAATGATGAACCAGTGTCTGATCAGGAAGTTGAAGAAAAAGCTAAAAGAAAAGTTGGCACTAAAGCTTATAAGGTATAATTAAAATATTCTTCAATGAGTTTTATAGAGTTATCCTCAGTGGTAGGCACTATCCAGGATATGCCCCCTATATTATTTTGTAATGATTACCGATTAGCATTATCAGGTATGTCTGATTTTTTCTTTCAATAATTGTTTTGTATGTCATAATAATAAAAGTGAGTAACCTTTTGCACTACACATCCCATAATTGAAACTAATATTACACTTGTATAAAATAATATAAAATAGGCAGAGCTTGTAAATATTGAACTAATAAAACATTGAAATAGAATAGCGTAGATATATTTATAAACACGAACTCCCCGTACATTATTTCAAATAAAAATCTCAATGCAATAATGATATTTCAGGACCCCAATAAGAAGAAATTAAATGAAAAATCAAAAAAGCCAGTCATCAAAAAACCCAAAGATGATAAATCTATAGAAGACAAAGTTGAAAAACAAAACAAAAGTGCTGTGGACAAAATTGTTGATACCTCAATAGGTAATTTTAAACTTTTCTTTTAATGATATACTTTATTTGGTGTAATTATAAATAAATAAAACAATAAGTTTTGCTTAAGTAACAGTAAGTTTTGTAGTAAGAGTAGTGTTGTATGAGAAAGGAAATTTGATTCATAGCTAAATCTCTCAAAGCTCACCATACAAAATAAATATCTTAAGTCTTTATGAACCTGGCTAAGAAACTGAAATCGAATCAATTGCAAGAAAATAGTAAATGAATAAATAGTAAAAATGTAAATAGTTTGAACTGAAAAGAATTGACAACTAAAATGTATATAATACTAGCTGACCCGGCAAACATTGTTTTGCCATATATAAGATTTCTAGGGAATTCCTAGTGTAGAAAAAAAACTAACTTATTGTAAGTGTGTAAGGATGTGGTAAATGAGTGAAAGAGGTATGTAGTGCTGTGAACGATGAGGGAATATATAATAAAAATAACAAAACCTCATTCAACCACATAATAACCTCATTATAACCAAAAAAAATGTCCAAATAAAATAAAAATGTTAGGGGTGGACAACCCTAATCACTTAGGGGTATGAAAAATAGATAGTAGCCGATTCTCAGGCTTACTGAATATGCATAAAAAATTTCATGAGAATCGGTCAAGCGGTTTCGGAGGAGTATGGGAACGAACATTGTGACACGAGAATTTTATATATTAGATAATATGTAAATAAATGTAGTCCTATTTTTTAACTGAAGAACGGAAATCTATAAGACAAAGTACAGCTATGAAATCTGCCGAGACAATACAAAGGATAAAAATCAGGTCAGAGCTGAAAAAGAAGAAACCGAAGAAAGTAGAAGAGAAGATGCCGACCCAGGAAGAGTTGTTGGAAGAAGCAGTCGAGACAGAGAAAGAGAACTTAAAGAGTTTAGGTGAATATATATTTCTAATTGTATGAATGGGTGATAGAGCTTCAAGACATGACTAATTTACTGTATCTTGAGATATGAGGTCTCAAACTCAATTTTCTTGTTTTTTTTTTAATTTTTTTTTTATTGCTTAGGCTGGTGGACTAGCTCACAGCCTGCCTGGTGTTAAGTGGTTACTGCAGCCCATACACAGCTACAACGTAAATGCGCCACCCACCTTGAGACATAAGTTCTAAGGTCTCAAGTATAGTTGACACAGCTGCCCCACCCTTCAAACCGAAACGCAATACTACTTCACGGCAGAAATAGGCAGGGCGGTGATACCTACCCGCGCGGACTTACAAGAGGTCCTACCATCAGTATAAGTATATGCCGATGTAAAATATAAACTAATTTAGTTGTATGTATTGTTGTACGTTGAGTTTAGTTACATAGTATTTTAATTATATTTGTTGTATTTGCAGAACGTTTTGAACAAATCGAACTAGAACGCAAGAAGATTAGACCAACTAAAAAGACTATAACTGGACCCGTAATAAAGTAAGTACTCATTTAAAACAATTTACATATTTGTGAGTGTGGATTAGATGAGGGTACACTGGATCACATTTTCTTCGACTGCCCCAATATCGTATCCCCCCTCTTTATGATATCCTACCAAATGACATTCCCCGGCCTATTAATATTAATTGTTTATTAACTTTAGTCTATTCTAAACATGTAAATATTCTGTGTAAATTTTTATCTGTTTATAATATTTATCTCTAAAATACTTAGCTAGTCTAACATATTATATTTAATTTTGTTTGCGCTGCTCTAAAACCACAGATTCGCGTATAGAAAGAACTGACCAAATTTATTTGTATTTAGATTTAGTAATTTTTTTCCTCTAAGTACCTGTCATTTTTGTAAATACTTTGACATTGGCAAAACCAATGCCAAAGGCGTTGGAGCCAAATTCTTTATAAAAAAAAATGTAGACATATATGCCGAGGGATGAAAGGCGATATTTTTGCAACTTTACAGACAGCCATTTAAAGAAAATTTAGAAAAAATATCATAAACAAGCTTCTTCAGCTATTTGAGTGGAGTAAATTTAATTGAAGTTCAATTAAAAACATCGAATCGTTGAAGCTAATGCCAAATAAAACACACCTTTAATTACAAAGATAAATAACGAGTACTAGCGACCCGCCCTCGCTTCGCTTTGGAAACTACTAGCGACCCGCCCTCGCTTCGCTTCGGAAACTGTAATTTATTATTGATTTCTCCACTATTTAATGGATGTTATTATACATATAAACCTTCCTCTTCAATCACTTTATCTATTAAAAAAAACCGCATCAAAATCCGTTGCGTAGTTTTAAAGATTTAAGCATACATAGGGATGTAGGGACAGAGAAAGCGACTTTGTTTTATACTATGTAGTGATTAAGCGAAATGTCGATTAAAACAAATAGCTTTTCAGCCCCTCAATGTGACACATTAACACTATTAGTTCATCAAAATCTTTTAACTTACATTATGCAATTTATTTATTTTTTTGCTTAGATGTGTGGACGAGCTCACAGCCCACCTGGTGTTAAGTGGTTACTGGAGCCCATACACATCTACAACGTAAATGCGCCACACACCTTGAGATATAGTTCTAAGGTCTCAGTATAGTCACAACGGCTGTCCCACCCTTCAAACCGAAACGCATTACTGCTTCACGGCAGAAAATAGGCGGGGCGGTGGTACCTACCCGTGCGGACTCACAAGAGGTCCTACCACCAGTAATAGATTTCATAGTAATTAATTTCATAGGTACCATTCATTTGCTGTGCCCGTGCGTCTCAAACGTGACGAAGTAGATAACAGTGCGCCACCACTGGATATAAGCGTAACTGATAACATAAAAAATGAAGACGGTAAGGTTAATTATTACTTACACTATTTTATGAACCCTAATGATCATATTCCGATTTCAATAATACTTCAACAAATTTATTGTAGAAAATGATGAACTATCTATCTATTTCATATTGAGTGTTACAAGTATAAGAATATTGTGAGTGAAAAAAATCATAACTCAAGCATATAGTAAACAAATGGCAATAATATAGTAGGCATTATTATGAGTTCTTAATATGAATTTCTTTTTTTTAAGACCTTAATTTGAAATAGCAATAAATCCATTTAATACAAATAAACAAATAATATTTTAAAGTGGATTGTAAATTAAAAAAAAAAGTTTAAAATTAATTCGTAGATCGTGATTAAGATAACTATAATTAATAAATAAATGCTTTAATAGTAAACCGAACTTCCGATCTAGCACATGAAGCTTTCTATTGACAGTATTATAATTTATTTATTTGTTTATTACAACATGGTACAGTAATACATGGTACAGTTGCTCGCTTCGGGCATTTCAATATCGTAGTAATTGTTACGTTATAATACTCATTGTAAAAAATTCATATTTAAAAAAATAATAATCTAATATTAAAAAATAAATAAATAATAACTTCATATTAAAAAAAAAAAAAGACGGAGGAAGGACGGAGGCTAGTTCTTGTGAATTGGCGGTAGTTCTTTTGACGATCAACAAGTATGTACTTTCATTTATGTTGAATAAATTTTTTTTGATTTGATTTGATTTGAATAATAAAATTCATAAGACAAACTTAATTGCAGGTGTATTAACACAAGCTGACTTGGATGCTCCTGATGAGAAAATCGATACAGATCGAGTTGAGACAAAGGAAGAGCAGACCGAAGACCTTCAAACTAAAATGGAGATAGACGTGATCGGACCTGATGATGAAATTAAAATTGAAAGCGTTAATATGTATGTAGTGCTTTTTTTATTGCTTAGATGTGTGGACGAGCTCACAGCTCACCTGGTGTTAAGTGGTTACTGGATCCCATAGACATCCACAGCGGAAATGCGCAACCCACCTTGAGATACAAGTTCTAAGGTCTCAAGTATAGTTACAACGGCTGCCCCACCCTACAAACCGAAACGCATTACTGCTTCACGGCAGAAATAGGCAGGGTGGTGGTACCTACCCGCGAGGACTCACAAGAGGTCCTACCACCAGTAAAATGCATCATCGCAAACCTTCGCCATGGTACCCTACGTTATGATAAATTACTTTATTTTTCAGTAAAGAACAAAAACCAAATAAGCTGAGGCACAAAAACGTGAAATATTACGAGAGGACTTTGCTTAGTTTCGAGAATGATATCAACGATGTAGCTTACAACGCCTGCTTCTTGAAGGCTCAGCCAAAGAGACGAAGGCACATGCTCTGTGCCGTCACCAAGTACGTATCGGATTATAGTTCATTCCCTTTTAGGGACTTTGTGGCCCTATTTTTAGGGAACTAAGCCTTTTATTTAAACGCTTATACATATTATGAAGGTGCCATACTCAAGTGTATGTTACGCGCTGTGGTTCGGGATAAATAAATGGTCCACCAAAGTACAACTTAAAACTGTATTTGTCACTTAAAACTCTCACAAAATACTTTAAAATTCTTAATTCACCTCTTCCGCTTCGCTTCAGGTGATCCTTTCACTGTTTCGCTTTGAGTAGTTCCTATTATTAACTGACTGCGTGCCATCTCTGAAACGCTTTTATAGTCGAGACGACATCCCTAGATTTATCGAGAACATTCCTCACAAGTCGAGTATTTTCGATGCGTGTTTCCACAACAATAACTACAGGGAGCCCCGCTCCGTTCGGCTGCTCGAGTCAGAATGTGTTTTGCGACAATATTTATAGTAAACAGTCGGGTAGTTTGTTAATTAATTTTCTTGAATAATGTCTTATACAATTGTTGCGTTGGTCTTATAAGCGTTAACCAACAATTATAACATTGAGGAGACAGTTAGTTAGCTTTAACTAATTTTAGTTAGTTAAATAGCAAGGTTGTAACAATATTTTTTTTAATTTTTTTTTTTATTTTTTTATTTTTTTATTACAAAAACATACAATTTTAATCATAATAACAAATATTGAAACGATGTTATCTGCTGTAGTCATAGACTGTGTTGCAGATAACAACGCCAACCCCTACACACAACGAACAATAACATATAAATTTAAATATTTCATAAACACATTATAATAATTAATTTTAAATACAATTATCAAATTAATACAATATTATTTCAAAATCTAGAAGTACAATTAGTGTATGTGTGTGTGTGTGTGTGTGTCTGAGTGTATGTGTAGATGCGTGTTAATACCTAATATATAAATTGCTCATTACCAAAATGTGTAAAAATGTGTAATCTAGTCCAGTAATTCTTCTATATCTTCGTATGTAAGGGAGAAAAGCCATCTATCAATGATAATTTTAACTTCTTTAGAAATAAGTGGGTAAATATTTAGTAATTTATTTATCTTGTTGTACAGAATAGAGCTTAAATACCTATAGTGAGACCTGACTATATAATATATAAATTTATGATATGATATCTGAATATATAAATTTAAAGATACCAGTCTCTGGTTGTCACACTACAGGCAACCCTATTTGGGGCCAGCTGTGACTTATCTCCGGATGTTATTATTTCAGGAGACCAGCACGCTACATCGATCCGGTCACGAAGCTGCCCTACAGAAGCGTCGATGCCTTTCGAATCATCCGCGAGGCTTACTACCAGCAGCTAGAAGCGAGAGGAGATAGATCGGATCCGCAAGTGGCCGCCTGGTTACAGCATAGGAGAGCTGATGCCTCGTCTTCCTACGTACAAATACACATCAAGTAATATTGGACTTTAACACATTGGTAGTAGAGTCGAAAATTATTTAGCTGGCCATGTTCTTTGTTTTTACTTGTTGCTCCTTTTTTTTCTAACAATGACGTGGATTTCGATGGTTCAATAAAAAAGATAAAATGCTGTGAGGATACGATTTCTTAATTTTTAGGACATCTTAAATAAAATTTATCTATGGCACTATGATTAACGTCAATGCCAAAAATGCATTGCTTACTTATAATTTAGGTCACAACCGGAAATACACTATAAATTCACGCTAATTTAGATTACAATGCTTCATTAATTTTAATATTTTTAAAGTTGTTGGTATGATTATGTCCTGAAATGTTGTTTTCCGAATACAGCACATGTGCGCTATGAAATAAAAACTAAATTACCTTATCTGGTAAGTTTGAGAATGTTTTATATGATCAGTATTAAAAATTGCTTAGAACAAATTTTGTATCGAATATCTTCTTCGTCTATACGTCATTGATATGAAACTAAATTGGGGACATTTAAAAAGTTTATGATGTAGGCAATGTTAACGTTCTAGTAAGTATGTTATAAGATTAATTATAAATTACGAATTGTACATTATAATATTGATAAGTAATAAATCCATTTTTGGAAGATGTAAATTGTTTCATTTAAAATGTTATCTGGTTTTGAATTTACCTTGAAAAACAATTCATACAATATTTAGATATGGAAAAATTATCATATCATTAATTTGTCACGCATGCACGCATATCATATCACCGCAGTTATAGTCGCTTCGTAATAAATAAAGGAAATCTTCATTTTAATTAAATTTATTAAATTGAATTTGTTATAATAAATAGGCACAATAAAATTCTTAAAACTTAACATAAGATTCAATGTCTGTACATATTGTACAATAATAAAGAAAAAAACTTATACAACTAAAAAAAAAGAAAGCATATTTTCAATAACAATTTTGTTAAAAGATTTTTAACGCGAACCTAAAAATATATATTTTTATTTAAAAAAAAACGCTTGAGTATTGACTATCTGTAAGGTACTATTAAAATACATAATATATTATTTAAAGGTCTGCAGAAAATGTTGGATCTAGCCTCAAATCAGGCACGCTATTCCTTCTTTTTTTCTTTCCTAAAAGCTCCTTAAAAGAAATCAGACCTGAGGCCTTCGCGTCTAATCTAGAATGATATTTCGATGGATCCGTTGTTGGTATATAAGGGTACTCTGTCAAATAGTTTTGGGCTTTTTTAACAGTGTTCTGGTTTTCGAAGTCCTGGTATTGCGTTTCCGATATATCGTATGAATTAAGTTGGTTGTTAGAGAGATTTTCCATTGATCTGAATGTTGCCAGCACCGCTTTCTTATGCGGTATGCCCCGTAAGCTGCCTTGTCGACTCAGTTTCCCTTCCATCACATCCAAAAATAAGTCCTCCACATTAAATTTCTCTGAGATCTTGACGAGCTTCTTTGTAGTCGTATCGCTTCTGTTGTTTGTATGGTTCCCCTGCATTTCGCTCCAGTATTTCGATAACTCTGATGAAGGCATCGAAAGCGATTTCGACTTCTTCTTCCGCCTTTTTGGTTTATCAGTGTCAAGAGATTCGATAGGCTTATTTAATAATATTTCACATTCGTTCGGTTTTGTTGGTCTCTTCTCGTCCGTCAGCTCTTCCAACGATTGGAAATATTGCTTCGCTAATCTGAAACGATTTTTGTATTCCACGTGCTCTGCGACTGTTTCTTTTTTAGGAGTAGATTCAGTCGACTTGTCGGGGCTGCTCTCCACGATTTCTAATTCGATATCGGAAAGGCTGACGTATGTCGTTTCCTTATCTTGTCCCTTGATTACTTTTATATCAATTAATTCTTTATCTATGTTATCTATGTTGACTGCGCTTAGTGCTCTGGTTTTCAATTTACGCGGCGAACATTCCGGTGAGTTTTGTCGACTAGTAAACCTGATATTTTGTCGTTCCGTTCTCTTTACTGCCACATCCGTTGTCTTAACAGCATCTACAGAAAAAATTTATTCAATTAACGATAAATAATTAGTAGCAATAACGTTACTGAAGTTAATAAAACTCTACAAACCCGAATTCGTGCTGTTCATGCGCAAAAGTTTCTCGGAATCTACGGAATTTGTTTTGTAAATTCTTTTGAATGGCTTTGACTCGATGTTGGATTTTGAAGCAGTTTCGTATAGTGAAATGAAGTTCTTGACGTTTATTTTTGGTAGTTCATCACAAGACTTGTATTTATCTAAATAATCATCAGAAGAATCCTTAGATATTTTACTGAAAATGTCCATTTCGGATTTACTAAACGATTTCCTTCGGAGGATTTCATTAACGCAATTGATAGGCGTTTCTGAAGCTATGTCTTTATTATAGTCCGGGGTTATGTTGGTCGTAATATACTCTTGTACAACAGATCGCGATCGTTTTTGTAGTTCCTTGTTGAGTTCTGCGGCTTTCAAAATAACTCGTGAACATTTTATTTCTTCATTTTGGATAGCATTTTCAAATTTATCTTCATCTATATTAGTGTTTTCTTTTTGAACGAGAACATTCTTCATGGAACAAATTCTGCTTTCATCTAAAGTTTCCGGTCTAATGTCTGGTGAGACAACAACGCTGTCGTTGTCTTTTCTTTGATGAATGTTATGCATTGATTTGGTTTTCCTTGCCCAAGGTAATTCTTCTGTGTTGGACAAATTGTGGAACAACGATATTCGACTAGAAACCAAACCGCTTTCATGACTGGCTTCGATTATCTCTGGCGATGATTCATCAGAACTACTGTGTCTTCCACAGAATATATCGATCTTACTTAAAATTTGTCTTCGCGATGTCCCGAAAAATCTTTTAGGACTTGTTTCGAAAGCCTTGAACACTTCTTCTGGTAATTCTTGTTTTACGGGCGTTGTTGGAGTACAAGCAAAAACTTTTTCTGACATTTCTGTTTTTGCAATACTTTCATTTGTAAATCTATTTTCATTGATGTTAGTATTTGAATGCTCTTCAGGTACTGGTAGTTGTGGATTGCTGTATGTTGTATCGACAGCTTTCAATTTCATATGTTCTGAATTTGATTCGGCTATTTCTTTCTGCAATTTTTCATCCCAATATTTCTTCCATTTATCTACGAGCTTTGTTTGACATTGTTCTTCTTGTGCCACGTCGGAAACGCTTTGTGGTATTGAAGTATCAATTACTGTTCCTGCATTATCGTTAGATGTTGTATTTTTTATATGACTATAACCACCTGCTCTTAAATAATTTTTGACCATTTGTCTACCCTTTCGCTTACTCAAAGAGTCATGTTTCATTTGCTTTGTAGAAACACGTTTCTTTCTCTGCATAACAACAGTTTCTTGTGAATTGGCTTCGATTTGGCGAATTTTCTCATCCCAATATTTCTTGCGTTCTAAGACTATGTTGTTTTTCTTTTGATTACTCATTTGTATGTTATTATTATCACTAGACTCGGGAGAGACTTGAATTTCGTCGAGAAGGCTTTGACTTACTGAAACTGATTCAGTGGCATTTGACTGAACCTCAGAAATCGTTCCTTCAACTTTATTTTCGTGTCTTTTCACATCTGATACAGGTACAGACGCCGAATTGACACTACTCTCTTGGGGTTCTACCTTATCTGTTTTTTCGTTAAATTGAATTCTTTCTTCAATTTCTACTGTAGAACTACTTTCTGCTTTAGGAAAATATTCCATATACATGTCGTTTAGTTCAGCAAATGCCACTGCAATAGATTCAGCTTCGTTTGCGTTCTGAGAATCAGACAATGCTTTGGCTCCCGACGAAACACTTCTATCATTTTCTTCAATAATGGGTGTAAAAGTCGGTCGTTGTATTTCCCACCTATTTGACTTTACTTCTGACAACTGAGAACCGCCTAATTCAGAGCATGTCTGCCACAGTTCTCTTTCTGCTGGTCCCATATTAGCCATTTCTCTTTGCTTGGATACAAAGTTTTCACTGGTAGGTGAAATCTTTTCTTTGTTTAAAGCTTCATATAATGTTACGTTGTCGTTATTGTTGGTATCGGGACAACTACTATTATCGTCAATACTAACGTAAGCAGAATCCCAATCTTTTCTCGGAGATGAGTCTCTTTCTGACCGTGTTCCGTCGATTTTATAAGATGAACAATTTTTTTCGCTTTCATTTGATACTGCGGATGTTTCTGTACTTTGTGTGAAGTTCGACTCAAAACTATTGTATGTTTCCGTAATAGTTTTATTTCTGTCAGTTGAACAATCATCTTTATTTGTATAATATTGTGTGTTAATTACTTCTTGTTTATTTTCAACATTATTATCAAACATATTTTGTTCACTGGATGGAATTATTATCAACGATTTCATCTCTGGTTCGGGAGATGAAGTCCGCATCATTGGTGGCAACGATACAGGAGCTCCAATGATAAAATCTGTAATGGGAAGCTGTAAATGAGGACTTTCTTTGTGGTGATGCATAAAAAATGGATTAACAAACTCATTTCCGAGCATTTCTTCTGGGATTAGTTCGGATTTAGGATTTACATAAACTGAATCGTTTCGATCAGTCACTTCACCAGATATAATTTTGTGAATTGGCGTTTTTGGACGTTCCATATCTTTCAAGTCGTCGTCAATAAACGGATTACTATTCGGTGATAAAGATGAATTACAGCTAGTGTTTATTGCTATTTTTATTGAATTATTTTGAATATCTTCGTTTTGTGAATCATTTGTTTCATATTGGGAAATAACGATAGTCCCAAAATCGTTATCTTGGAGTAAATTTTCTTCACATTTATGAGCTACAAATGGATTATTAATCAAATGAGTCAATCTATCCAATGAGCTATCTTCTATATTCTGAAACTTTTCACTTTCGTTGAGACTGTCAGGACTATTACTCACACTGTGGGACTGAGAAACCGATTCAGATTTGTTTCCTGCGGTTCCGATTTGTAAATCAGTATTAGGCGTATCAATTTCGTGAATTTCATCATAAATTGGCTTAGATTTTTCCGTTCGTATTGACACAGAAATATTCTCAGGCACGATGTATTTGTCTTGTTTTTTGGCGATTATAAATGGATTTGTATTTTTGTCGCTGAACGTTGAATTTACTATGTCAGGGATATCTTTGGAGGATCTTGTTGGAATATAAGTGGTATCTTTTAAGATTGATTGTTTTTCATTAATTAGTTTGTTCATTCTCCTGCATACTCGATTTAACCATAAAATTTTACGTGCCACCTGATTAAATTTACTTTCGTTTTCTCCCGTCACTTTATTTTCTATTGTGCTTAAGCTATTCGTTTTGCTTAAGTCAAGAGGATTCTTATTTTCTGAATCTGTTGTCATTAAGAGTTTTGCCTCCTCGTCGCTTATTTTTTCTAACGTGCCGTTTTCTCTCAGTAGCATCTTTTCGGTGACGAAATCGACAATTCGAAGGACTACTTTTCGATCGTTTTTTACATCAACTATGTCTATTTCTTCGCCGTCTTCTAAGTGGAAACTGTCTTTTTCTAAGATACTGATAATATTATGTGTTGCTTTGATTACAAATGGTGATCCGACAATACTTTGACCTCTGCTTGTAATTGATA